AAACAGCAAAATGATGTAAGTTGAACACAGAATGCATTCCATTTTATTGTTCAGTTTCTTTAAGATGTTGATTGATGTAGTGCGACATTGTAGCCTAGATGATATTATGGGAATTCTCATGATCCATTTTGCTTTATGCATTATTAATGACTAATAATATTTGTTATCTGACACTTTAAAGATTACATAAGTAAGATTCAAACAGATTATTTGAATTTAACTTTCTACAACTGAACCTAACATGGTTACATAGCTGACATGAACAAATATGCATATATTTTGTAATGTTTGGAATCAAAAGTTGACATTGTTAGGCTGACATGGTACCTATAGTGAATCTGTAAGGCTCAGTTTTGATTGTGTGCACTTAAAATATCCCAAGATGTTATTTTCATCATGAATATGCCTCTGTATGGTAACACATTTCAATTTAGTACTTTGACAGAGGGCGGTATTGCAGCATCAGCTGATATTTCATTCCATTGAATCATTGAATCATTGAACTTAAAACCTTGGTAGCCAAGACTCTTAAAAATAGACTAAAAATATTCAAACAGATTATTTGAATCATGTTTGCACATGTGATTTTAACAAGTACATTGCATATGTCCCACACATGCAAATATCCATCCTTGTTTACAAATTTTCGGGATGCAAATTTCATATTTAGTTGATGATATAGGATCTATTGGTACCTATAGTTGATCTGTGTGGCCACATTTTGCTATATTCACTCACAATATCTAAAATTGGTTTTTCCTTCATGAATAGGATTGCATATAGTAATAAATTTTAATTTGGTACATTGTCATTTGACTTTCCACTATACTGGTATGTATCAATGTTTGCACCAATGATCAAACCTCACCGTTCCAACATTGCCTTAAACTTTATGATACATACTCTACCTGATTAGTTATTTAACCTGTAAATGGCTAAATATGCTTGTAGAAACTTCATCTATTTTTAGGATGCATTTGTCACTTTAATACATGCCCATTGCTTCACATCTTTGAGTGTCACTCTATCAAGTTTACCTTTTTTTAACCATATTTGCAACCTGAATGTTATATTGAAATCACCATATCTAACACATTTTAACTTCATTTGCCTACATCTTCCTTTTTTTTAGAATTAAGTGAAACATGTTATATATTTTCAGGTCTAGGCTGGTATCTGAAACAAAGTATTAGAGTTGGATCAATTTGGAAGCTCTCCAGTAGTCCAATGGTGATAGCAAGGTCTCATAAGGACATGTGCAGTGTGCTGCTATAAGTGACCAAGATGAGTTCATATCAGTACACTGATATACAGCATCTCAAAGACATGGCTTAGATCTTCATGAGAGAGATTCGCATCTTTTTTCAGTAAGGTGAAACTGTATTTTCATATTGCATTGTTGACTTTTGTAGTTATCGGCATTAAAATGGAATGCATATTTGCTATAAAACATGGTAGTGGTCCCATCAAAACTTTAAATTTGAGTGGGATATTAGTTATACAAACAACTGTCCAAGTACCTGAAACAATAAATGTGGAACATAGTACCTGTCATTGTTTCTTTAGTATGTACACCTATATGCATCTGGATAGGCATATTGTAATTTGCTGTCAAAATCACTGTGAGCTATCATGCTTCAGTACCCCTGGGATTAATATTATCAGTTGTACAGACCTAAACTGCCATTTGTTTTAAAGACCATTCATTAATCAACATTGCTGCCTTAAATTTGTCAAACTGAATGTCATAACTTGTATGAAAATTTATTTTTTGTAAAAAAAAAAAGTTTTAAAATTTATATATTTTTTAAAATTTTCATTAAAATTTAATATATCAATATTTTTTAATTTCAAGACTATTTTCAGACAGGCCTTATCAAGTATTACAATTAGGTTTTTACTGCATTGAAAAATTCCTATAATTAAGGAAGATATAGCAAATTTAGTTTTGGTTTCTTAAGAACAATTGGACCTCAAATTGCACCCTATAGAACACCAGCACTACACACTTTCTGACAGCTGTCACATGTCTTACTTGCAAGGAAATTTCAAAAGACTTTATGTATGAAGTTGAAACAGTAGTGGCATGCAAAATAAAATGCAAATATAAAAGTTTGACAAAAACATTGACCCTTTCAGGAATCAGTACACAATTAATAAAATCCGGTTCAGTACCCACGAATGTAGTCCCAGTCTATTTTTAGATCACTTTTTCCGGTCTAAATTTGGTGGTGATACTAGAGTTAGATTTAGGCATTCTTGGTAAGGATTTAAAGGCAATTGATTATTCTTTAAAATGTGATCTTATGGTGTGGTTGTCTGTGTGTATTTCGGCGACAGTGCACATTGAGTAATAAGGTCATGGTGATGATCCGGAAGTGAAATCTGTGTTCCGTTGCCTGGTGTTTTGTTTACAATTCAGCCTCTCAAAAAAATGCAGGTCAACCCTTGACAAGAACTAAACCGTTAAGTCATCTTTGAAGGTATTTTAGATTAACATATGATTTGTATTGATTGTCACACAGTGGAAAGTTCAGTACTGAGGAACAAATGTAGAGACCGTATAGTAAAATTAATTGTGTACTATGGCCAAATGTTTAGTCGGAATGGAAATCTAAATGATCATGTGAGCATACAAACTGGCGATGAACCATTCAAGTGTGTAGAATGTGGTAAAGTATTTACAGGTAGCTCTCATTTGAAACAGCACATTAAGACACATACTAGAGAGAAATTCGAGTGTAATGTTTGTGATAAAATGTTTATTCGGCATGATAATCTAAAGCAGCATTCAAGGATACACACTGGAGAGAAACCATACAAATGTGAAGTTTGTGATAAAGTATTTACTTTTAGCGCTAATTTGAAGAGTCACATGAGGACACATAATGTAGAAAAGTCATTAAAACGTAACATCTGTGGTGAAATGTTTAGTCACAATAGACATGTCAAAAAGTATTATAGTATAGGAATTGGAGAGAAACCATTTAAATGTGAAATTTGCTATAAAATGTTTAGTCAGAATGCATATTTGAAGCAGCACATGAGGATTCATACTGGAGAGAAACCATACAAATGTACTGTTTGTAATAAAGTATTTACTTTTAGCGCTAATTTGAAGGGCCACATAAGGACGCATACTGGAGAAAAGCCATTCAAATGTAATATTTGTGATAAAATGTTTAGTCACAATGGACATCTCAAGAAGCATTTGAGCATACACACTGGAGAGAAACCATTCAGATGTGAAGTTTGCTTTAAAATGTTCTTTGAGAATGGACATCTAAAAGAGCATACGAGAATACATACTGGAGAGCAACCATTCAAATGTGAAGTATGTGAAAAGTCATTTACATTTAGCTCTAATTTGAAGAGTCACATGAGAAGTCATAATGGAGAAAACCCATGTAAGTGTGAAGTTTGTGATAAAATATTTAGATGTAATTTTGATTTGAAGAGTCATATAGTGACACATACTGGAGTGAAACAATTCAAGTGTGACGTTTGTGATAAAGTATTTGGTTTTAATGCTAATTTAAGATGCCACATGAGGACACATACTGGAGAAAAGCCATTTAAATGTGACTTTTGTGATAAAATGTTTATTCGGAATGGACATCTAAAAGAGCATCTGAGCATTCACACTGGAGGGAATCTATTCAAATGTGAAGTTTGCAATAAAACATTTTTTCACCAAAGATATATAAAACAGCATATGCGGATACATACAGGAGAGAAGTTGTTCAAGTGTAATGTTTGTGGAAAAACATTTACATTTAACTGCAGTTTGAAGAGGCACATGTCAAATCATAATGGAGAAAACCCATTTAAATTTCAAGTTTGTGATAAAGTATTTAGATTTTGTACTAGTTTGAAGATGCACATGATGACACATACTGGAGAGAAACCATTTAAATGTGAAGTTTGTAAAAAGTTTTTTCACCATAGATATCTAAAGGAGCATGTGCGGATACATACTGGAGAGAAACCATTCAAATGTGATATTTGTGAAAAAGTATTTAGATTTAGTACTAGTTTGAAGACGCACATGATGGCCCATACTGGAGAAAAACCATTTAAATGTGAAATTTGCAATAAAATGTTTGTTCAGAATGGATATCTAAAGGAGCATATGAGGGTACATACTGGAGAAAAACCTTTCAAATGTGATGTTTGTGAGAAATCATTTATACGTAGCTCTCATCTGAAGAGTCACATAATGAGTCACACTGGAGAAAACCCATTTAAATGTCAAGTTTGTGGTAAAGTATTTAGATTTAGTACTAATTTGAAGACACACATGATGACACATACTGGAGAGAAACCATTCAATTGTGAAGTTTGTAATAAAATGTTTAGTCAGAAGGTACATTTAAAGATACATCAAAGGGTACATGCTGGTGAGGAACCAATCAAATGTTAAATTTTGACAAAAAAATGTTTAGATTTAGCACTGATGAGGAGGGACACATGCTGTAGATGAGCCATTTAAATGTGAAGTTTGAGATTATCTGTTTAGTGCGAATGGACATTTAAAGGAGCTTTTGACCATACACTACATACTGGGGGGAAACTGTTCAAGTGTGATTTTTGGATAAAAGCAGGTCTCTCTAAGAAGATTTTTAAACCAGGAGTCCAGGACTTCTATTTGTGGAGAAATAGGAGCCCCACCAGCAAAGATTGCAGTCCCCCTGGGAAATATTGGGCATACATGAATTTGCTAAATGTCCGGATGAGATGAACCAGTGGTTGCTATTGAAATTAATTTTCTAAATTCATCACACCACTGACATATTGCTCTTGTTTGTCCATCAGAGCTAGGCATCACAATCTTCCATACAAACCATCTCATTACCATTTTGTCAGTTGCTGTTTAACTCCAAAATTCTTATTTGAGGTTGCACATACTGCTTGTTTTGCTATACTTATAAACGAAGATAATAATGAAAGCTAAAGTTGTTTATTTGATGTACTTTTATAATGACCGCAACTACATCTCTAGCTCTGTTGGCCTAGTGGTTAGTGCATCCGCCTCGGATACGGAGGTCGTGGGTTCCATTCCCTGTTGAGTCATACCTGAGTTACATAAATGATACTAATAGCTGCCTCGTTTGACGTTCTGCATTAAGAGGTTAATGTTCCTGTGCGTATCAGTCATCAAGACTAATTGTTATGTTATGTTATGTTATTGGGCTTAACGCCATTTTTCAGCACACGATAGGCTATTCATGGCGGCCAGTATTAATGGTGGAGGAAGAAACCGGGAAATCACCGGAAAGAACCACCGACCCACGAGAAGCTACTGGCAAGCTTTCTCACATATCCACATTCGCCGAATCCTAGATTCGAACTCACGCAGACAGAGGTGAGATGGCAGTGATCCGTAACGGACAACGCTTTAGACCACTCGGCCACTCGGTAATTGTAAAAGACTAATTGTAGTTGACTCAGTAAATGCAGTTGTATGGTACTTGCAGGTAAGTATGAATGACAGTTGTGTAAACAGCGCTCAAACAAAACTGGAACTAGTTACAGACCATAATTTCCTATTCCAAGGACAAGTAATCTCGCAAAAGTTGCTTTGTAAGAACAAGTTTCCTACTCTAATAACACAGATAAAGGATTTATTCACCCCTGGAGTTAGTGAAACAAAAAAAGAAAGTATTTTAATAGATAGTTTCATTAATTTGATTCTGGATATATGTGATAATTAAAACACTTGGCAATGAATTCGTATTTTCAAATAAAAGGTTTTTGATGAAATTTAATAATATATATTTCTAATTAGAAAATATTTACTTACAAATTATATACACTTAATGTAACTTTTCCCATCGCCTAGTGCTTAGAGCATCTGCCTTTGATGTGGGAGGTCACGGGATTGAACTCCAACCAAGTAATACCAAAGGCTCATAGAAATGTACTAGCAGATACCTCGCTTGGCACTCAGCATTGTTAGGTTAATGTTAGGACCGATCCGACTGGTGACAGTCAATGTGGCTGGGTGTAAATGATTATGTTGTATGAAGGAGGGAACGGTATTATGTGTGGATGAAACATTTAATCTTAGAGAAATGTTCTTAAAATCAACAGTGTTAACAAACATAGCACTCTTACGAAAAGATACCGGAGAGTCTCCTTTTCCTCGGCACATCTTTTCTACATGGTAAATCTGACTTTGAAACTTACAATGCTTTCTTCTCACAAATTTCCAGTCATTTCACAAATGGAGAAATAGAAAACTTGATTGTCGGTTTAGATGACGAAACTGCAATTCGTAAAAGATTAAAGTGGTCATTCACAAGAGCGACACAGATGAAGAAAAATGTCACTGATTATTTAAAAAAACAGGGTAGGTGTCAACATGCAAGATACACAATCAATTGTAAACACCCTTTTTGGTGACGAAGGAATTTCAAAGGCCGATAATTCTTAGCATTAGAAGCAAAAATAAAACATGCAACGGATGCCATTTCAGAAAAAGCGTCTGGTTTCCAGCTATAATTTGAAAAACGAATGTTACCAATTCTCAAAAATCATGTTAACTTTCCTGCCAGGGTAAAAAAATGTGGACGCCCACTAGACAAATAATAATGCAGAGTCTGTCAATAATATCATGAAGACTGGAACCAATTAGAAGCAAAATGATATATCCGATATGACAGACATGCTACAATAGCTTTTCAGTTCTCAGTATAAAGACTGGTATATTTCAAACAGTTACATATTTGATTTCATATATTGCCTTGGTGATAGTAATTAGTTGGGTTTTTTTTAATAATTTCCCGAGAACATGTGATGGTGTTTCATATCCAAAACTACTCCTTGAAGTAAAAAGATAACACCAAAATCATATGAATAGATATTTCAAGTTATATTTTAGGTATTACCGTGCTGAGAGTGACTATCTTTGGATAATGGCGGATTTTCAGAGAACATATGCTGAGTATAATATATTAAACTTTTGCATTTGCATGAAAAACTTGTCATTTTATAGTAAAACATTTGTTATGTACGGATAAAAAATATGACATTAATTAAACGATGAAGCATTGTAATCTAATAATATAAACTAATTTTCATTTCGTCTAAACAATAAATACATACATGTAAGCTTTTAGTTGTTGATTAATATATTTCCGTGTTTTTTATTTTGTGTTTTGTAAGATTTCTGTAAAGGTCGTAATGAGTGATCGATACACATCAATGTCCATAATACCGCCACTAAATAATCGTTTACAAATATCTGCTGCATCATTAATAATTTCTGGGGAATTATTACCAGCTCGTTTTCCTCCAATGAGGATTTCTAGTCGTTCAACCTCAGCAAGGATATTATTGGGACAAGTACTAAGACCACTTCCTAGACCACTTCCAGTTGCGCCGACAGCGTCTTGAAATACTTCTATCTCTTCACTTGGTTTCGGTGGTGTTGTTTTCCTTGGTGTAGATAGAATTGGTATTCGTAATTTTGGTAATCCTGAATAATCACTTTGTGGTTAAAATTGTTTCATTGTTTCTTGTCCTTGTTGTTCTCGTTGTTTTAGCGATAGTTGTAGTAATTGTTGTTGTTTTGGGGGTAACTGTATAAACAAAATATAATTATCTATTGCACGACTATACTCAATATATCTTGGATCGTCGTTTCGAGCTAGTTCAACGTTATAGTGTATGCGAAATATCCATTTATACCAATTATCGCGACTTACAGCATCATCAGCGTATTCAGGTTTTAAATATTGTTTTCGATTATTATATCCTCTCACAGAAAATTTAGCTAATTGTTCTACATTTTTTTATCTGTCTGATATCAATAATGGCATCTTCGGTAAATTTATCATATATATTAACCCTCTCTCGCATTTGTCCTGGTATTTGTTGAGTATCACCTTCTGCCTGGTCTGTATCTTTGGGTATTTCCGGGATTAGCATTGCAGCAGCTATTTCTTCTGGAAGTTTTTCAAGAATTTGTTTTGTTTTCTTAGTTCTTTTTGCTATTTTTTCAGTTGCTTCAGCTGTTTTTTTTTTTTTAACACAGGTTGAATACCTTTAGTGGTCTCAGTGATAGGTTTAAATAACTGTTTTGTTTTATCCTCAAAACAGCTTGAGATTCCTGAGGCAATTGTAATTGTTCCTTAACAGAATCACGAATAGGTAGATATTTGTTAATTGCTTTTAGTCGCTCTCGAGGTAATTTAGCTGAATGTGGTTCTCCAATACTCATTATTGATAGTATGTATAATGGCTGTTTAATTCATAGCAGCAGAGAGGGTGTAGGACAGCAATTTAGCCGCTTTACGAGTAAACAAAATCGCCTTACAAAATCATAAAAAATAAGTCAATAGCATCACAAAAATAAGCTAACCTCATGATTTTATTATACGATTAAATACATAACCGTGTGGAAAAAGAAAAGTTAGAGACTTTGGTTTAGCGTTGTTTACTTTTTTTTCAGCTTCTACAGGAATCTTTTTTTTTTTTTTAGATAAAGGTCTCAGGCAAAGTTGTCTGTTCACCCTCTCTGCTGCTAATGATGTCATACATGAATGTGATTATGTGCGTTCAAACATGCACTAATCAAACACTTGTTCAAATGTGAGTTATTGGTATCATAGAAATGTTGTTTTATCCCTTGGCCTGCTTTATGTTTATAATAGGCTGCCTTTTCTTTAAATTTGTATCATTTCATTAATGCTACAAAAGAGTGCTTTGGAGAGCAGGAAAAAGTAAACCATAACGAGTCGTGAGTTACTAACATGTTGATCAAGGTTACAGTAGTCAAATAAATCATTACAGCCACAATCTACAGATGATCAGCTAAGATTAGGTCAACTCAGAGTAGTGAACAATGTAAACCCCTGATTAGGTAACAATGGTTGCATAAATCTTTGTAATCATGCTCGAACAACGGTGGTTTACTTATGAAGTTTAACACTTGAACATATTTAAATTGCTAAAAGGTGTATATATATATATATATATATATATATATATATATATATATATATATATATATATATATATATATATATATATATATATATATATATATATATATATTATTGTATGTATTATAATTCATGTTTCAGATAAAAGACATTTAATTGATTGGTAATACAATATAATAAGCAAGATTTATCACAAAAAATTTTAGAGACCCAAGGATTCGCCAAATGGTTAACAAAGAAAGAAAAAGAAGATACTTTTACAGTTGGAGACTATATAATGACTTTACAAAAAGAAAATTCACTCAGGTTTGTTTATAAGTATCTTTTTGTAAAGGCTATAAATATCTTTAAAAAAGCAAAGAAGCACGTTTGATGGCAAGGTGGCCTTGGATAGTTCCCCCAACCCAGCTGTCATCCTATTACAGCCATAAGAATAATAATGAAAAAATTAATCACAAGTGACTATACAGCATTTTCATATAGCTGTCGATTTATTTAATATTTTCCTGGTACTTTTGTAAACTTTTGTTAGCTATATTCTCGTCAAAAAGGTCTCGAGTTTTGGCCAGAATTTGTCTACCCATTCTTGATTCGATTCAAATATCTGTCAATGAAAACTTCCCATTTCTGCATGAAGCAAGGCAAAATCAAAATACTTAGCAAATGACCTACATACATAAAGTTGTAAATGAATTTGGTGGTACTAAGCATTATTAGGGTTTAATGAAAAAAACGTTCCATGTTGGCTTATTTTCAATGATTTGACTGGGTACACAGGTTCCTTACGATTGTCACCGACAGTCTTGAAGCTCCATTTTACTACTAATTTACATTCCACAATACCAACAAGTGAGTTATTTTCTTCAACTCCACCATCAGGTGATGCTGCAATGAACCCATGATCATTCACTATAATTAAACCCAACTTTTTAATAGAAATGTTTAAACCCTCTTTAACTTTTTCAGGAACATACTGACTGATAACTGGCGGCTCCATATCTAATCCATATTTTCATTGTTGCTGAGGAAAAAGAAGACGGCTCTAATATTGCACTACTTATTGTGTTGGGATTGGACAAAAACGTTACAAATACGGCTAACAATAGAACCAGTTATCATCAGTTGTCTCAAAGTAA